GACAGTAAGTTGTTGGGGTCACCAGGAACAGCAAAACCTGTGTGTCAATTCCACACACTTGACTGACGGAGGGAAAAAAATCCCACAATACCAGGCATGTCACTCCTTGTACCATACAAGAAAGTTCAGGCAGGTTCCAGTTAGTTGACTGGGGCCACCACTAGGAAGAGCATAGTTAAGAAGGATTCCAAATTGTCCTGGAGCCTAGGAAGAAGAGCAGTACTGTATTTTTCCATACCTTCCGTATTTTTAAGTCTAGTGAGACACATTTTGGTTCTGGTCTTATTGAATGTCTGTTCCGTGTGACATTGTTGACAATCCTTTGTTCCATTAGTCACCAAGACCTATCCCTTCCCACCTCTCCCATCCCTAATGCTCTTCCGTTGCAAACTCACATCTGGGCTTTCCTTTTCCAAAACTCTATCCTTGTATTCTACACAGATGGTTTGCAGATGTTTGGGCAGGAGGAAGGTAAGGCATAGCTAAAACTAGCTTGGAAGGTAGGCATGACAAAGGCAGGCTGGATGCATGAGCAGGTAGGCTGGATGCATGAGCAAAACCATCCTGAAAGCCCTGCATGTGGACATCTCACAAGGACTCTAGCAGGTTTTTGATAGATGATCTGGACATTATGCCAGTGTAGGAAATATAAAAAAGGGACTGTGGCTATTAAGTGCTCACTGTCTGTTTCTTCACAATAGCCTACTCTATGCTGTGGGGTGGTGTTTTGGTTTTTTGTTTTGTTTTTCTCCTTGTTCCTATCTTTAGTTAGCCCAAACTTGCTCTACAGAGCCTGGTTGTTTTTTGTTGTTGTTGTTGTTGGTTTATTTTCAACTACCTTTAATAAATGTGAAACTTTGGCATGTTCGTGCTTGGTTTGATTCTTTGTACCAGGACAAAAAGAATCTAGAAATTATCTAGTAGGAGAGTCCAACACCCAAAAAAAACTAAAACAGTTTCAGTGTTCTCTCCTTGTCTAACCATCACCCAAATCCTGATTTTGTTTCAGATTTTCCCAGATTCTCCCCCTGGCCTCTGGCTCAAGATTCAAGGTCATTGATCCAATGGCTTAAATGTGACATACACATCACAAATTTCACCTGCCTAAGTGGGATTCTTTGCTTATTACCTGCTGCCTTTCACTCTGCTTTCCTTTCTGTTTTTTCACTAGTTAATGATACAACAACACATCCAGTCACACCCACCTAGAAACCAGTGGGTCAGCCCGTGCTTTTTCTCCTATACTCTGCTCCCAAATCTTGTCAGTTTTTAAGTCCTAAACATTTCTCAGATCTGTCCTCTCCTGAACACCCCTACACTGGTCTAGTTTAGGTTTCATCAACCTTGTGTCTTCCCAGTCCCTATTCTGCAGAGCCAAGATGTCCCGTTTAAAATGCCGATCTGATCACACAACTCAAAACTCCCCAGCAGCTCCCCAAAGGGAAAACAAAATCTCCATACCCCTGTAATAATCATTGTACTATAATATCATTTAAATATATATAGAAAGAAAATGAAGTATAGAGATATATTATGCCATATAAAATTATAAAAAAGCAATGACAATTTACTACTGAAATAGAAACAGAACTATCAAACCAATACATTTTAAAATAAAAACATTAATTTATTGCAACTATGGTGTGTGCTAAGACTAAGTACTGCATAGGATGCTCCTGGAGCTGTAGTGCAGTCTCTGGAGCCTGCAATGTGTGACTCATCTCTGTCTCAATCTCAGTCTGTCTGTTTCTGTCTCTCTCTATCTCTGTCTCTCTGTCTCTCTGTCTCTGTCTCTCTCTGTCTCTGTCTCTCTGTCTCTCTCTGTCTGTCTCTCTCTCTCTCTCTCTCTCTCTCTCTCTCTCTCTCTCTCTCTCTCTCTCTCTCCCCCTCGGTCTCCCTTCTCTCAGGAGCTTCTGCTAACCCTTTGTTCCTTCAGCCTTCTGGGAGGGCAGTTGGCCTCCTCCAGGCACAAACACATCATTTACATATTAACTCCCACTCATTAGTGAGACAATTAAAGCAGCACTACTCGGCAGCCAATGCCAACACAAAGGCAATGCTTTCGCTGAAATCATCTGGATGAGTTATGCAGTGCCACCCAGATGACCCAAAGCACAATTTTTTCACTTACTTTTCAGATTACCATTAAAAGTAACACACAAAAGTTAATGTTTCCCCAGAGACTGCATGGCCTTCAGAGCAAAACCAAAAATAATCATGTCCAGTCTACACAAAGCAAGAAACGCAACCACTGAAATGCACCACTGTTTCACATCATCTGAACCTTAGGCAGGCCATCCATCCACACTCTGGTGGCACCAAATGCTGGTGCCCTTTGCTTTGGGTAACTGCCCACCCTTTTCTTGGACTGACTCCTCATCACTTAGGTTGTGCTCAGAACCTTCCCCTGGCAGCATGGTGGCACAGCCTGTTATCTCAGCACTCAGGAGGCTGAGGGAAGAGAATTGCCTGGAGTTCAAGGCCAGCCTGAACTACATAATGCAAGGCAGGCTGTCTCAAACTCCCCCCAAAAAGAAAGAAAAGAAAAGAAAAGAAAAAAAAAAAAGCACTTGACCCCAGGGTCTGCTCTGCCCTCACCTTTGCATTCTCAAACCACACGAAATGAGCCTATCCCAGCACAGGGTTCAAATCCCATCAGCCTCTAAAGAATCACAGGGCCTGGCAAATGGCTGCAAACGAACACTGCTACTGACTAAAACACAGGCTGCATGTTGTGTTGGAAAGAAACTAGAGAACTTGCTTTTATGACCTTAGGCACATCACTTCATCACCTTGAACCTCAGCTGCTCCAACCATGAATCAGAGACAATGAAAATATACTAGTACAGGTGTGGAACTCCAAGGAAATGCATTGCAGCATGGCTTTAAAAGCAAGATATTAGGTGATGTCGCAGACTGCAGCCCTTCCAGGGGGAGAACCACCACTGTCTCCTAAGATCCACGCCATGTTGGAACTTAGGACCCTGGGAAACCAAGCAAGCAGCTCTCCTCCCTGATAAGCGGCCGTGGTGTGGCCGGCTGTGGCCCTTCCAGGGGGAGAATCACCAGTGTCTCCTGAGATCCACGCCATGTTGGAAGTTAGGATGCTGGAAAACCAAGCAACCAGCCTGCCTCCCTGCTAAGCAATAGTGAACCTACTGGTATATGGCCTCGAGTCAAACATCCCACTTCCCCTAATCCCCTTCCCCTGTTCCCCCATTAGCAAATGGGAACCAGAAATCTGAGCATCTCTTGGGAGGTTGACCATAGCAAATAAGTGGGATTTCCTTTACCATCTCTTTGAAGGCAAATATTTTTATTACTGTTTTGCTTTATTCTGATTAATGGTACTGCTCTATTGAATATTCTGTTTTGATAAGTTCTGTAATGTTCTGTATTTCATTTTATTTTGATATATGTGATTGAAAGAACAACTATTGTAATGATAACGAAATATACTGTGATACCTATTACTGTTATCTTGGTAACCTGCTGTGAAGTTCTGTACCAATTTCACTACACAGTCTCAGTTGCCTTTATTCTGTTTTGTTCTGTTATATTTTACTACTTTCAAAATAAAAAAGCAAGATATTAGAAGCAACCTAAATGTCTACTGTAGTATACTGCCTAAACAAACCCAGCACATCTGTACAATGGAGCATTATGCACTGTTGAAAGAGTTTTTTATGTACTACATGGAATCATCTCTAAGGTTTAAGAGAAAAAAGTAGGGACAGAAGAGTATATGGATAATATATATATATGGAGTGTGTGTGTGTGTGTGTGTGTGTGTGTGTGTGTGTATGGAGAATATATATGATTATGTTGTGTCCTGATCAGGCCAAAATGTGGCTGAAATAATCTTGAGAAATTGCTTAAATCTGGTATCACATTTATGCATTTAGCAAATATTGACTGAATACCCACTAAATTCCATACATTATGCCAGGTAACAGCATGTTGCACCTGGAGCCCCATAAAGGAAAAATTTTAAGTCCTGATTTGAAGTGTTTGTCAGTTATCCTGATATTAATATTCTTGCCACACTTAGTATTAGCTACATGAACATGGAATTTGGAAGAGATGTACACAACTGGCTTTCCTGGGTCAGTACAAGCATGCTCCAACACACCACCAGGCCAGGTACAGAATACACACAAACTACATTCATGAGCTCATAGTAATTAACTTTTATTGACTGCTAACTACATGTCAGATACTACTCTAGACTGTTATAAACTATACAAAGCATGCTGGGCATATTGGTACTGTAATCCCAACACTCTGGAAGGGTGAGGTAGGAGGATTTCAAATTCAAGCCCAGTAGGCAACTTAGTGATTAAGCAAGGCTCTGTCTCAAAAATAAAGAATAAAAGAGAGATGGGAATGTAACTCAGTGCAAAGCCCTGGATTCAATCCTTTGTGCCACAAAAATTATGTAAATATTATAATTTTACAATGAAATATTAGACAGAATTTCTAATTGCGATTAAGTGCTGCTTAGCAAATAAATAAACATCGTAGTGGAGGCAGTTTTTGCCAGTTCTCATGGTGCAAATACTTCCACTATGGCCAACTTCAAGCTACTAATGTGACATCACTTGGTTTGAAAATTCCTTGAAACTTACCATCTAGCCCTCATGAGCCAGTATGCTCCAAGACAAGCTAGCCTGGATATCTATCACTTAGACAGAAGGAGGAGGGGCAGGAGAGGCTAATTCAGAATCATTACAGGCCTCTGTGAGAGACAGAATTTAGGCAGAGGCATGGGAGATAAGGAGACAACCTTGAGCAGAACCAGGCAAAACTCAGGAAAGTAGGCATAAAATAAAGTTGGAGAAAAGAGAAGAGCCACATCACACAGTGTCACACTGACTGTGGTAAGAGTCTGAAGTTTATTCTAAATGCACCAGAGAAGTCTTGAATCTCAGGGGCGTTTGTCTGTTTCTGTCTTGGTTACTTTTCTCTCTTTGCTGAGACAAAATACCCAACACCCAAAATGAAGGAAAGAAAGGTTTATTTAGCTCCCTGATTGTGGAGATTTCAGCCCATAATCAGCTGGCTTCAAGGCAGGGTGGCATGCCACTGGGACAACACTTCCAGGCAGCAGCCAACAAAAGCAGCAAGAGCAACCCCCAGGGCAGATGCAGCACTCACAAAATCTCTGTGTCCTCCTCTTAGGCAGAATGAGAGTGTTTACAAAGTAAGGGTCCTTCTAAACTTCTCAAGTTGACTCGATGTGTCAACCATAACAGTTTGTTTATTTGTAACAGTCTTGCTGTATAGCCTTGAATTCACTATATAAAGGCTGCCCTCAAACTCTTGAAGTCTCCTGTCTCAGCTTCCGGAGTAAAGGAATGGGGTAGCTCTTTAGCTTCTCAAAGCCTCAGTTTCCTCATCTGTGTAATAATTTTATGTGATGAAAATCTTAATTGTCAACTCGATAGCTTCAGAAAATAACTTCAGGAGAATAGTGACACATATTTCTGAATGTGCCAGGATGTGCAGCTGTGACATTAGGTGCTCTTTCCTTGTTCTCTGCTTCCTGGGTGTCCTTGATGGCACCAATGAATAGTGGGAGACCACTCCTCTTCACACTTTGAATTTGGGCAACACCCCAGGGCCAATCCTCCTTCTGTTGTTCTGAAAGAAGCAGAAAATGAAATAACAAAGACCCTAAAAATTTCTGTCTCTTGGGGTGGGCCAGAGACCATGCATGTTAGATCTTGTGACCTGACATTCCCACCTCGTTAAAGGTTCCCACCTCATAAATCATTGTTTATTGCTGAGTAATATCCCATTGTATAAAAATACCACACCTTTTTCATCCAGTCTGCAGTTGATGGGCATCTTGGTTGTTTCCAAGATTTAGCTATTACAAATTGTGCTGCTATGAACATGGATGTACATACATCACTGTGATATGAACTTTCCAGTTTTTCCAGGAAAATATCCAAGAGGGGAATAGATGGATTGAATGGAACTTCCAATCTTAGTCTTCTGAGAATTCTCCATACTGATTTCCATATTGGTTGCACCAGTCTACACTCCCACCAACAGTGGAGCAGTTGAACAATTACTTCTTAGATAACAATATGTAATATATCAACTAGTGATGATTTCTTAATGTTATTTTTGAAACTCTGTATCATTTCTTCCTTTTTTGTTTTGCCTTTTTTAAAAAAAATAAACTAATATGGCTGCACACAACTGCCTAGAATCTACCTGTCAGATGGATTGCTTGGTATCCAGGTGAGCAGTTGTCCTCTTCCATGTTCTTCCACCATGATGTTTCTGCCTCAGAACCAGCAGATGATGGACTGATATCTCTGAAACTGCAAGCCAAATTAAACCCTTCTCCCTTTAAAACTATGTTTGGTAGATATCCTGTCCCAATAATGGAAAGCTAACCACAATACCTACAACATTTGAAATCATCTTGTCATAGAACTGTCATAACGAATACATGGAATATGTATGTAGTTGTTTGTTTGTTTTTTGGTACTGGGGTTTGAACTCACAACTGCTTGCTTGCAAGGCAGTTCGCGTATGCGGCTGAGCTAAATTCCCAGGCCCAATGTATGTAGTTCTTTTGGAGTTATTATTATTATTGAATCAAATGACTGAGTAAAGAAGAGCTACTGGGTTACTAGCCCTGGCCAAGGGCCAGCACCTTGCTTTTGATCTTTCCAGCCTCAAAAACTATGAGCTAAATGAACCTCTATCCTTAGTCTCAGCTCTTATAGCAACAAAAAATGGACTAATGCCCCACCCCGCCTCATCTAGCCTCGCTCCATGATTTTTCTCCATCTGTAAGCTAAAAGCTTACTCTGGCCAACCTTCCGATTGAGTCAAATCTGTTAATTTGCCCATAAAGTTCTAGAATTTCTATTTGTTAATTTCTAAATCTTATCTGTCATTGTGGTTTTCAGTTTCATACAGAAATCTTCAAGTTTAGCTTATCTTTTTGAATACACTAAGCATAGCTGTTTTAAAGTGCCTTATTAAGTCAGGCATGGTGGTGCATACTTTGTAATTCCAGCACTCAAGAGGCCAAAGCAGGAGGATTGCCTGGAGTTCTAGGCCAGCCTAGGCTATCTGGTGAGTTTAAAGCTAGCCTAAACTACACAGTGAGACCCTGTCTCAAAAAATATGAAAAAACTAAAAGTAAAATAAAATGCTTCACAACCTCAATATTTGAAGCTTTTTAATGATTATTTCTATTTTAAGGACGGATATCTTATTTCCTTTGTGTGCCTGATAATCTGTTCATATGACATGAAATTTAAAATTTTATTTCTACAAATAATGTCAAATCTAAGATTTTAGTTTATATAAATATTTCAAGGCCTAGAATTTTAGTTTACTCTGCCAAACACTTGGCCATCTCAACAAAAGTTCAAATTTGAGGATCTCTTGGTCAACCTAATAGGATAAGATTGGTTTACCATTACCTAAGGATATACCCTTGAAAATCTCAGTTTTAAGTGGAGATGTCTTATCAGAGCTTCACCTATAGAAGGTCTTGGGCAGCTCTATCTAGCGGTTGTCTTTAGTCCCAGCTACTCAGGAGGCTAAATCAGGAAGATGTAAAGCAGAAGGATCACTTGAGCTCACAAATTCAGACAAGCCTGAGAATCATTGCAAGACCATCTTAAAAAAAATGGAAAAGAAAAGAAAGAGCAAGATATATCATGTACAGATACAAATTCCCTATGATGAATGTTATCAAATTATGTGTATCTAAAATGTACCAATAAAAAAATGTTTATAGAGGACTTCCGGGGGAACATGATGGATAGATAGCAGCAGCTACAGAGGATCTCTGAGATACCTCACTTAAAATCCAGGAATGGTACGGGGTGAGAAGTCCTAAGCAAGGGGAGATATACCCTGCCCACCCAGGAATGAACTAAATTAAGAGAAACCAACTGGAAACGCAATCTCGGTGCTATAACAGGAACAGATAAGGTTTCAGTGCGGAAGCTGGAGCCTGCGCCACTGGAAGCCGTGATTTGAATTTCCTGCAGTGGCTGCTGCATCCCAAATGGCACGGCAAGGAGAGAGGTGCAAAAGCACTGAGAGTGGGAAGCGGCAAATGGAGTTGAGAGGAGGACTGGCCAGGAGCTCTGCATCGACCTGCGGTGAGTGAGCAGATTGGGGATCCTTCCATAGAATAGGAGGCTTCAGCTAAGGACAGACTGGTACTGGGCAGACTAGCCGGAACAGGACACTGCAGTGTCCTTAGTTGCATATTCCCCTCACAAGCAGGATTGGTGGGGAGTGCCTGGCCTGGGTGGTGCTGCTGACTTAAGACCCAGTAGGCTAGCCCAAACCAGGTCCCAGCGCCTGGAGGTGCACCCTAGCAGTGAAGCCTTTGTTAGGTTGACCTGAAGGGCGGGCCCAGCAGAGGCTGCCCAGGTCTGTATCTCCCTAGTACACTGCAGTGGGCGGGAACACCTAGCCAGCACAATTCAAACAAACTGTAACCAACAAAGAAAGAAACTGGGCCTCCTATATATGCTTATATGGAAGGAACAAAAAATACGGGAAGATGGAGCAACAAGAAAGGGTCCTCAGCCCCCAATCCTGAGAAGCATGCAATATCAGACACAGCATCAATAGACATAAAGTGCTATCTCCAGAGCCTCATAGACCAGTTCAAAAGAGAAGTATTTAACGAAATAAAGCAAGATATAAGTAGAATAGTTAGAGAAATGTTAAGCACCGCCCAGGAAAAAACAGATAGTGGAATGGAAGAACAGAAAAAAAGGGGAGAATTGTTTGATAGAGAAAACATAGAATATGTGAAGCAGGTTCAAAGAGATTACCAGGAAACTAAAAACTCTATCGAAAGCTGGCATAACAGCTTGAAAGAAACTAAGGATAGATTATCTGAATTGGAGGGCAGATTTGTAATGTGGGAGCATGAAATGAAAAACTTCTTAAAAATAACAAAACAAACAGCAATAATACAAAGGCTAGAACATGACAAGAGGATCTATAACTTAAGAATTAAGAACATAAAAGAAGAAGTAGGGACACAAACAAATGGACTACAAAAGCTATTCACAGTAATAATCCAAGAGAATTTCCCTAATTTAGAAAAAGGTAAAGATACTCAGATGTATGAGGCATACAGGACACCAGCCACCTACAACCCAAACAGAACTACACCCAGGAATATAATAATAAAATTCCAGAAATCCAGTATAAGAACAGAATATTAAAAGCCATCAGAGACATGAAACAGATCACTTACAAGGGAACGCCCATCAGAATTACAGCAGACTTCTTGGCACAAACCATCAAATCATGAAGAGCATAGGAGGGAAATAATTCAAGCTTTGAAAGATAATAATCTCCAGCCAAGATTGATATATCCTGCACAACTGTCCATGGAAATTGATGGAAAAACAAGGTGCTTCCTAGCTGGCACAATTCGATCAGGCTGTGGCTGACAGGGAGGGAAGCTGGGCCTCCTATATAAGCTTGCATATATAAGGAACAAAGAATATAGGAAGAGGCAGCAACAAGAAAGGCTCCTCGGCCCCCAATCCTGAGAAACAGGCAATAGCGGACACCGCACCAATAGACATAAAGTGCCATCTAGAGAGCCTCATAATCAGTTCAGGAATGAAGTTATTAATGACCTGAAGCTAGAAATAAGCAGAATAGTTAGAGAAATGCTAAGCACCACCCAAGAAAAAACAGATGGTGGAATGGAAGAACAGAAAAAAAGGGGAGAATTGTTTGATGGAAAAAACAGAGAAAGCATAGAATACGTGAACCTGGTTCAAAGAGATTGCCAGGAAACTAAAAACTCTATCGGAAACTGGCATAACAGCTTGAAAGAAACTAAGGACAGACTATCTGAACTGGAGGGCAGATTTGTAATATGGGAGAATGAAATGAAAAACTTCTTAAAAATAACAAAGAAAAAAACAGCAATAATACAAAGACTACAAGATGATAAGAGGATCCATAACTTAAGAATTAAGAACATAAAAGGAGAAATAGGGACACAAACAAATGAGCTACAAAAGCTACTCACAGAAATAATCCAGGAGAATTTTCCTAATTTAGCAAAAGGTAAGGATACTCAGATGTATGAGGCATACAGGACACCAGCCACCTACAACTCAAACAGAGCAACACCCAGGCACATAATAATTAAAATTCCAGAAATTCAATACAAGAACAGAATATTAAAAGCCAACAGAGACAAGAAACAGACCACTTACAAGGGAACACCCATCAAAATTACAGCAGATTTCTCTGCAAAAACCATCAAATCACGAAGAGCGTGGGGGGAAATAATTCAAGCTTTGAAAGATAATAATCTCCAGCCAAGATTGAGATATCCTGCACAACTATCCCTGGAAATTGACGGAAAAACAAGGTGCTTCCAGGATAAAGAGGAACTGGGGGAATTTGCAACTACCAATTCAACCCTACAGAAAGTATTGCAGGATATTCTAAAAAAAGAAAAATACAAAGAACCCAGAAATAGTGGCGAGGAGGCCACAACGAATGGAGCAGAGAACAAAATGAAGAAGACAAACTGACAGCTACTGACAGAAAAAGAGCTCAACAGAAATGAGACAGAGAAGATTGGATGATAGGAACAGCTATTTTGGAGA